GTCTCTCTCTCTACGTCTCGCTCTATGCGAGTTACCGAGGGTCGATAGCGGTTACAGCGGCGCCACTATTTTTCACAACCGCAGTTAGATATAACGTTGAAAGCTAGTTGTTATATTCAGATAAAAAATTTTTCATGAAATAAATAAAACCAAAGAAGCAAACTAAGAAATTCTCCGTCGAAGAGAACAGGACAAATGTGGGACAATAATATATATTGGTGGCAAAGGTGAAAGACTCCTGGTTAGGCCCAGAAACTCTGGCGGATTTAAATAAATGTTTGCGCTTGAATTGAAACTATTGAGAAGAAAACAACAAAACCAATTAACATTTTCTCCTAAGAATTACCTTGTTTTCATTCATTAGGGAATTCATAATCTTGGAGAATATCAAATACTTTTATTGTAAAATGTTGTACGTTGTTTATTGTCTTACATCGTACCACTTCAATCTCAGGAGTTTGTCTATTTTCTTTAATGTTTTATCTGGGAATGATAATCTTACCCGGCTCTAATTATTTATTTTATTACCCTAAAAGGCCAGAAAAATCTCCATTAATTCATCAGCAACCACTTGTTTCCTGTTCCACACGCACTGACACCAAAATGTCTGGAATAACATACCGAATAATCCTTTTCTCAGAGGGTTGACCATGGAGAGGTCGTTGCATGGACTGCCTCCGATCAGAAGGTCAAACGGACCCCACTCCGCCAGCTGCAACACACACACACACACACACACATCTTCATGTTTCTGTGTTGTTTTGATTCCCACTTGTTTCTTAGGCTGCAGCCACACGAGGACGAAAACGGCCGTTTGCGTTACTGTTTAGTGTCATATAGACCATTCGGCCACACGAGGACGACCGCATACGGCACTAAACGACTGAGGAAACGATAACGGGTCCCAAGGTGGATAGAACGGCATACGCAACGCTCTGGGGGGGTCAAACAGCTCCGTGTGTGCGCCCTATACGATCATTTTCTGATAATGATTGCGCAATAGCCCCGCCTCTCCCCACCTCTGCTGCTCACCTCCGCGTACCCCGCGCCATTGCTGATGTGTTTCGCCACCAACAACAACAACAATGGCGGATCGCAGAGTTGCTATCGTGCTCCGGACGCTACTGACCATGCTACAGTTCTTTGTGCAACATCTACAGCAGACTTACACATCCGGGGGGGATCTTACTCGCTGCTTTTGTGGATATGTACTGCAGCTTCAGCGATCATTTTCTGATAATGATTGCGCAATAGCCCCGCCTCTCCCCACCTCTGCTGCTCACCCCCGCGTCAAAGTAAACTGCACACTGAATTCAGATTATTTATCTTTCTCTCGATATGGACATAAACGCGAGTGAAGTCTAATCTGACAGGACGGAGACACCTCTCGAACTACCTAAACTAGTTATAAATATGTTTATTTTTACTGTCGGCCGGGTCACTCATTACTGGATCAGCTGCTGCATGAGACAGACACTGGCGCTGTCCGAAGAGAGGGAGGAAACAGAGAGGCTCCGTGTATTTTATTATTATATTATATAGAGTCGTTATTCATTTGTTTTAAAGCTCAATAAATAACAAAGAAGACCTTTGACCGGCACTTTTATAATTTTGTCGGAAGGTTTAAACTTTAATACACGTTGACTGGCGAAAAACTCTGCCCGGTTCCCTCGGCCCCCACCGCGGAGAATAAACAGAAGGGCAACCATGACAACCATGCTTCTTCGCTGCTTTTGTGGAGGAAGTTACAGCGCCACGTACAGGCTCCTGCATATGTACTGCAGCTTCTCCAGCGGTTGGAAGCTAAACGGAGCGGTCTCGTGTGGACAGACACTATCCGGATAACTATTGCGTGTGGACGGAAGCTTGTTTGCGATTGCGTTTGCGTTAATCCTATGCGTTTAGCCGTTTTCGTCCTCGTGTGGCCGGGGTCTTAAGCTATCAGCATTCAGAGGAGAAGCCCTGTTTACTTTCTAAACATTACCTTTATCTGTAAACCGTAAGAACATATTGAAAAATGTCACATTCAGTTTCTGAAAGTCCAAGTATGTGTTTCAATGTCCAAAGATAGTCACTTTTATTAAAATATAAAGCAGTAAATCTCCATATTTAAAAAGACAAAACCTATTTTCCCCCAGAATAAAAAAAACATCTATTAGAAAACTTTTTTGTTAAGAACAAGCAATAAAAACAACTCTAGATAAGGTCAGTGTGAACGCACGTGTTTCCTGGTGATGGTTCGAACATCGTTGACGTATTCGATCTTTCCCTCGTGCTTTATCAGCCCCACAGCGATGGAGTCCTCGCAGATCTCTGAGGCGATGTAGCGATCGAGCTTAAAGCCCAGGTCTTTGAGCACCAGGTAGCCTGTGGGGAAGAACACACACATTATATGCACTGCAACTCAAATAAAAGTCTCATTTGTATTCACACTGGAGCTCCCGGTTCCTCTTCAATAGTAAGTAGAGACAAAAAAAGATAACCAACCTGTTGCGATGCCGTCAAAAAGCGAGAGCACTCTGATTGGTCGGCGCTGATCAGCGGAGATGGAGGGGTAAACTCTGTGAGGCTCCTGGGATTAAATAGAAAATACACAAGTTTCAGTTTCAAGTTTCAGCATTTTTGAGCAAGAGACAGTTGTTGTGTACCTGCCAGAGGTTTGTTTCATTATTTAATGAGGGGATACAAGTGTTAAGAACACTCTATTTCACATTAGGTTGTATTAACTGTAGCTGTGTTCATGACAGGATGTGTGATTACCTAGAAGAGCATCAGGACTGTTTGAGGCATATGATAGCTATGTGATTAACATGATGATTCAGCCTCTATGGAGATAGACATCAAGCATGCTCATTTCTGACGTGGAGCTAATCTGAAGTAAACATTGAATACTGCTTTCTATTCCTCCATCTTGTGACTGTGTAACTCCCTCTCTTGGATATCAGCATGTGAAGGACACTGTTCAGGAACTAGTTGATGCTCTGTATGTGATGACTCCTTCCATTCTGGAGAGGATCACAGATACATGGATCCTGAGATTCAAGCTCAAGCCGGGGAGCAGGGATTATTAAAAATGTTAAGTATTCAGAAAGTGAGAATTTTGAGAAAAGGCCATATTTTTGGAGAAAAAGTCAGATTTTTTTGAATTTTGAGAAAAAAATATCAGATTTTTGAGATTTTTAGAAAAAGTCATATTTTTGAGATTTTTGAGAAAAAGTTAGATTTTTATAAAAAGTCATATTTTTGAGATTTTTGAGAAAAAGTTAGATTTTTAGATGTTAGAGAAAACGTCATATTTTTTGAGAAAAAGTCATATTTTTGAGAAAATGTCATATTTTTTAGATATTTGAGAAAAAGTCAGAATTTTAGAGAAAAAATCAGAATTTTTAGAAAAACTTACATTTGAGATTTTTGAGAAAATATCATATTTTTGAGGAAAAAGTCAGATTTTGGGGAAACGACAGATCTTTGAGGAAAATACCAACAAATTCTCTTTTTTTGTTTTGACTACTTCCATCCTTGAGAGGATCAGAAACACAAGGATCCTGAGACTGAAGCTCAAGCCGGGGACCAGGGAGATATTTGTAACACGTACGAAGGCCATGGCGCTGTTGTTGGCGAAGAAGTCCTGGACCTTGACGCTCCAGTCCGGCCTCAGTTTGAGGTTCCCGGCACACAGAGAGGGTTTACACATGTAGCAGATCCACGGATCCATATCCTTCAGAGTGTCGAAGGTCCCCGGACCCACCAGGATCTCCAGACAGCCCTTACAGAAACACCTGGAGGACATAATAAGATAAGAAGTAATGTTAGTGTTGCAGCAGCATAAAAAACATGGCATTGTAGAATACAAAATTAAAGACAAGAAATAAACAAGAAAGTAGTTGAATTTACAAATTAACAATAAAGCAAGTTATTATATATGCATAAGTATGTGAGGGATGGATTATTAAATATGAAACTGAATATATACATGTAAAGGGTGATTTTAAGTCCAAGAGAAGCTGTGGAGCAGAGTTCAGAGCGTAAAAGAAAATGCACTTTAGGTCAAATCAATCGAATGACCGGTGACGTTTACCTGCAGCAGCTGGTGTTTCCACACAGAATGACTTCCTGTCCGGCGCAGCACACGGTGCAGTACGACTGGTATCCGTCTTCATCGTAACGGAACAGCGTCTCTGTGAAGTTCTCCTGCAGAAAGAGACGTGTTAGGAGCAGCTGAGTTTCAGATGGAGGGCAGACATTGGGAATTGGAAAAGATGCTCAGAGCTCTGGTATCAATAGGTTACTATGAACTGGCTTAAACCTCAGTACTTTGGACCAACACTAGATAGATACAGGGTTCCTGCAGGTTTCACCAACTCAAATTTAAGACCTTTTTAAGACCACTTTCAATCGAATTTAAGACCTATTTCACGGCAAGAAAGCATGAAGGAAAATTGCTATGAAAGAAGAAATACGTCCCATAATTACTTACAAAGCAAATGTATTCACGTTCAACATAAGAACGATGACTGAGCATAACAGCACACAGAACTGTGTTGGCGTGTTAGACAAAAACCAGAAAAAAATACTGCCTAACCGTGAAAGTGTGTGTGTGTGTGACAAGAGCTATCTTCTGAGCTCTGCTCCCTTGGTTACAATCTTTCATCGTTGCTGTTGTGGGATTGGTGTTTAGCTGCGGTATTTAGCATCCACAGCACCTCCGCTTTTAGGGTTGACGTAGACCCAAACGTCGCCCGGAGGCAGTGGTCGCGTTGACCGAATATTTTCCGTCTTTGACATTTTAACAATGACGGGGAAAAAATCCATCATTTTGACCGATTAGAACAAACTCGGAACAGCGCAAAAGTTTCCCCGCAGCGAGGCTCCGGTGTTATGCCGTGTTAAGCACGCCCTCCAGAAAGGCAATGATACCGTTTCCAAACCGCACAGATCATTGAAATGTCTGGGAGTTTTTCCTGTAGGCCGTGCGCGCTCCCGCGAGGTGCATGCATCTCTCAGCGGGCATTCATAACACCGGCACAACGGTTCACGAGTGTGCTCTCGCTAGCTGAAGCTTGGTTGCTAGGTTACTAGCTGGGTGTTCTCCGATAAGGGGATAATTACTATTATATATTGTACTTTTGATAATATTATATATATATATATATATATATATATATATATATATATATATATATCAGGGTTTCCGCTAGGATTTTTTCTCGTCGGTCAAATGTCCGGACAGAATTTATTTTAACGGACAAATTTGAAACTTACCGGTCATGTTTCAATAATAATAATAATAATAATAATTGTGTAGCAGAGTTTCCGTTAGCAGGCATTTTACCGGCTAACGGAAACCCTGGTATATATATAACAGTATGATATTGTATCTGTACCACGTTGTGTGAGACTCACTGTCATGGAACTTGTTCTAATAAATGTTAAAAACAAGTGGTATGGGATGGAGGGAAGCACACCAAATAACACGTAAAAAAGAGACTTATTTGTCATTAAATTACCTTGCATCTGAGACAAAGACCACCTTCGAACAACGGGTGCTGCACCTGAAGCTCAGTGGATCCACAAGACAAGCAGAAATCTGAAATAACAAACAATTAAGTTAAAATGAAGGATTGTTCGTTGATATAAAATCACACGTCTTCCACACACACTCACACACAACTTACCTTCAATTGTTCTCCCCTCCTCTTTGACCTTTTCTCTTATCAATTCTGTAGAAAAGTAGAAAAACAAATCACACATAAGGAATAAAAAAGATTATACTCTGTGACTAAATCTAGTGAGAAACATTTACTCTTGAAGACGTGTTTTTTGGACTAAATGTGGTATATTTTGTACCTCGGTTATAGATGATGGCGGGTGTGATTGCCTTGTTTTTTAAAAAATATTTCCTTTTTGGTGGAGGCTGGTAGTCAGACGGGGCCGAGTCAGAAGTTTCCTGAAGAGCGGCGGCGGCGGCATCTTGAAGAAGCAGGAAGAGACGAAATAAGGAGAAAATTAAGAAAAATCTGGATATGTAACGACTAACAGAGCAAAGACCAGTGGAGCATTGTTTCTGATAGCAAAGTTTCTGAAAGGGCCGAGGGTCCACATTTCAGATATGACGTCATATCGAACGCAAATTCAAGATTCAAAGGTTTTATTGTCATATACACAAAGCTACAGTGTAGAAATGGCAATGAAATTATTCTGACCTGAGCTCCTCCAACGATGCAACATATGTAATAAAATACAAAAATGCAAAATAAAAAGTAGTGCAAAAAGTCTATTTACTGGATCAGCTCCGTTTTTAGAGATGTGGGTACGGAGGGAACGAGAGACGGTCTTCTTACACACCGGGGACACATATTGATGTATAGAAGACATCAAAAAGTGCATTTTGCATGATAGGAGACCTTTAATACTTCCTGCTCTGCACTTTCCTTTCATTTGACTTGTGTTGTGAGCACACCTCCCTCTCTCCTCTGTGCAACACGTAGTGCTGCCTTATTCCTGCCATTTATGGGTCAGTGTGTGAATATTCAACTGAATGCATGTATTTGATTAACACACAAAGGAGCGGTATAAAAGACATCAAAAAGGGACTTTTAAACTCCTAATAGAGTGGTGCAGTGACGAGTCCTAAAACCCGGAGGTGAGTCAGCATTTCACCACTTCCTGTTCCCTCGTCTCAGAGCCAATGGGATCTCTCCGTAGGATATAGGAAAATAGCTGAAATAAGGTCTGTGGTTGAGACCAAGGGCGCCGGAAGCGGGGGGGCCAGGGGGCCATTGGCCCCCCCACTTTACGGCCCTGCCCCACATTTTCGCAGCAGCGGATGCCGCGGAACACTGTACAAATCCCGTTTCAATAATTCCCCTCTACTCTAAAGTCGCATCTAAAAAGAACGCCATCTGATCTAGCTGTGTATATTTTTGTTATTTTTGATTGTTATATTCAATCTCAGTAGCTACAGGCATTTTTTAAGCTTGTAATTGGGAAGAACACAGCTCGCCTCTCACTCGCCACTCTGCTCTTCCACAGCACCGCTTCCCCTCCCTCCGCTGACATTATGAATGTAAGGCATAGTAATCATAGATAACACCGCAGGGTCCGTTACAGTTTGTTTTCATCTGATTTCAAATAAACAAAGTCTTGGCTTTCAGAATATTAAACTTGTTTCGGCAAATTCAGATGATAAATACAGCTTTGAAGCTTCGGCATAAATACAAGCGGAGAACGGAGTAACTTGACGTCACAGCAAGCATAACAACAGCCGGTGTTTCTCCTGAGAGTTTTCCCCGGGAAACAAACGCAAAAATACACAAACACACACACGTATACACACACACACTCGCGAGCTCCCCCCAGACCAGTAATCCAAACGAAAATATCTTCCCTCCGTACTACTTTGATCATTTGCTCCGCTAATAATCAATCAGATCGATCCAGAGAAGAGGAAACTTTAAAGGCCTTTTTCTCAAAATGATGACTCGGGGACAGTCATTATATAATGTGACATATTTTGCTTAATATAGTACAAAAACAATCCTGATATCATTAGAAAGCTAGGAATCTCCTCTTTCCAACAGTGTATACAACTCAAAATGTGTCTTCGGATCAATGCGACTGATTTCGATGGAGCAGGTCACTTTGCATTAGGTAAAATACAGCAGGCAGACATAACAGGAAGAATATGTACATTTTAATCCAATCAAATATTGTCACACCATTCAAATGTATCCATGTACATTACAACCAATAACAAAGCTTAGATGTGTTTATCTGTTACGTTGTTTACGTTATGTGTTACGTTGTTCAGTGTGTGTCAGCCGTTAACCTAGATAGATAAACTTGCAAACATGTCAGAAGAACCGGCGCATAAGAAAACAAAATACAGTCAAACTAAGCTGAAATTCAACAACTTGAATGTCACATCCCTGACATCCACAACTCCGGAGCCTGGTCCTTCAACCATAGAACCAGCTCCGGAGCCTGGCCCTTCAACCATAGAACCAGCGCAGCCAGGTGAACCCCAGCAGCAGCTCTGCGGCCGCAGAGGCTGTCAAAACCGCCGCCGCCGGCATCGTTGAACCGAAACAGGCTGGTTCCGACTGCATGGAGGTTTGTTGTCGGGACATTGTGACGGGCAAATAAAAGCTTATTTGGGCAAAGAGAAGGTACTTCAATGCAGAATGGTACAAAAACAGAGAGTGGTTAATTATTTGCAAAACCACTAAACAAGCCTTCTGTGAAATATGCAGATGTGCTGCTGTCAAACGGCTTGTAACTTTCTCCAAATGTGGAGATGACAGCTTTGTAAATACCGAGTAAATAACTGGAACTTTTCACAGAGCTTACTTCAGTCAAACACCAGTCAACATTCAGCTTGTCAAACAAGAGCGTAGCAGGAAAAACGAAGAGATAGAATGAGCAACTGCGCTGTCATATGTGTGGGCTGGTCTGTATAGTTTAATGTACAGGAAAGGAGTGAGCAGAGGGTTGAGTTGTCCATTCTTGTTCTGTTTTCTCTGACTATCTTCCTCCTGAAGACCCTCTCAGACTTTCATTTGCTCGCGCTACTAAAGAGACACTTACCATGGAAACCAAACAATGGTGTAGCTGTATTGAAGTCCGAGTGGAAACAGTAACATTTGGTGCGTTATGTTAGAATGAAACAAATCAGATTTAGTCAGAAATCGGGAGAAATGCGGGATAAATATGCCCCTGGGAGGACAACGGGAGTCTCCCGCGAAAATCGGGAGGGTTGGCAAGTAGGCTATGTCACATACACACGCACTTTTTGGCCCCCCCACTTCTGAAATGAATCCGGCGCCGCTGGTTGAGACACATTGAAGAGACGGATCACGTTTTGTTCTACGACATTAAATCCATCAGCAGTGACCCCACTGGTGATTTCTGAAGAGTTGACGTGTCTGAAAAACGATGGTTGTTACCAAGTGGCTGAATAGGACTACAGAAGTTGTGGAGGTCGTTGTACGTCATTACGCCGAACACGTAAACACTCCTCTAAGTTAGTTTCTTTTCTGCTTGAAAGCAAGTTCCTGCCTCCTGCAAACTGTTCAAACAAACGCTTCAACTTGAACCAATTAGAATCTGTGTGTTTGAATATGGATCTGAAGTTGGCGTGACGTTGAAGTCGTGCTGCTGGACTCGGCTGTAGTTCCTTTGTAGCATCACGTTAGCATTTTGCTTCTGGACATTAGATTTATGATTCGAACATTATAAAAGTAGGGTAGACATGTGGAGATGATCCGGCTGAACAGAACGTGCATTTATCAAACAGGTTCATTTTCCACAGATCTTAATTCGAGCTATTTTCCAAAATCCTCTGGAGAAATCCCGTTGCTTTTTGTCCAAAGAACCCATGAGCAATTTAATACCGGGTCGGCTTACAAAGATACATCATCCCTGCATCCCTAAATGTTGATAACAGCGCTCATACCAGGAGGCAGGAATCCCTTGGGGCCGGAGGGCAGGAAACCCTCAGAGGCCCAGTCCAGCATCAGCTTCAGCTCCTTCTCTTTGGTTCCTCCTTTTCCAGAGAAAGACTTCCCACAGCGCTCACCAGCCAGCTGCACAACACAAACATTATCTGAGTCAACACAACATTATCTGAGTCACTGAGTCAACACAACATTATCTGAGTCAACACAACACAGGTAGGTCGATTCAAACAGGAGAATAGTCAGAAATCAAATCAAATCAAATCTTATTTGTAGAGCACATTTAAAAACGATTTTGGTCGAGCCAAAGTGCTGTACATGTAATTTAAACACATAAAAACACATGACATCACAATAAAAGACAATAAATCACAACAGATAAAGCAACACATGGAACAGTCAGGAGTCGTGACCCCACTCTGACTAGATGGCCAGAGAGAAGAAGTGAGTCTTCAGTGAGGATTTAAAAGCCCCTAGGGTCTGGGCCGACCTCACATGGAGGGGCAGAGTGTTCCAGAGCCTGGGGCCTGCTGCTGCGAAGGCTCGGGGCCCTCGGGGTTTGAGCCTGGTCTTAGGCACTCCGAACAGCAGCTGGTCAGCAGATCTTAAGGCTCTGCCTGGGGAGTAGCGCTGGAGGAGTTCAGCTATATAGGCCGGAGCCAGCCCATTTAGTGCTTTAAAAACAAATAAAAGGATTTTAAAATAAATTCTGAACCGAACTGGAAGCCAGTGTAGTGAGGCCAGAATTCAGGTGATGTGGTCACGTTTTTTGTGGCCAGTCAGGAGACGTGCAGCTGCATTCTGAACTAGCTGGAGGCGTTTAATTGATGCCTGGTCCATACCCACATACAGAGCGTTACAATAGTCCAGTCTTGAGGTCACAAAGGCGTTAATAACCCTTTCCAGGTCTTTAAAAGATAAATACGACTTGGTTTTGGCCAATAGTCTTAGAAAAAGCAGAAGGTATTGGTTACAGGTTAAGTAACAGAAAAGAGTTACCAAGGGGAAGCGTACAAAGTAGTAATGACAATTGGTTACAAATATCTGATTTAGTTCATTGCAAGCCCTCGGACGCTGTTTCTTGCAAGATGTTGCGTTTTGCCGCCGCCCGCGGGCCGTGGGGTTTACCTGGTTAAGGCGAGACACCTCAGGTGAATAGGGTAAGTTTTTTTAACTTAAAGATATCAGCAAGACATTTCTCCAGTTAATTAATTACATTAAGGCAATTGTTTTTTGTATTGCAAGTTTTCTGAAATAGCATGTTTGAATATGCAAATGAGCCATACTCATTAAATATGCGCAAATGTTAATACTTCAGGAACACAAATCTGAACTTTGGATAAAGCCAGGTTCAACATTCTTGTTTCATTTTGTAGTCATATTAGAAGCTAAAGTTTTTACAGAAGGGATTTTTTTATATCTCTTGTTATCACTCCATAAATCAGAAAATACTGTCAACAGCCCTAAAATATCAATTCTCGCCATGTTTTTAGGTATACAATGTTGTATAATTCAGGCTATGAATGATATGAACAAATCCTTCTGTAAAAACCTTCCGAATATTGATAGGAATATAACTGGAAGGTTTGGTGTGTGTAAGTGCTACTGAAGCCTCAGATCTACTTCATATAGTAAACAAATCTCTTCACTCAGGTATTTTTCTACAGGCCCTGAAAACTGCAGTCATTAAACCGCTCTTAAAAAAGAATAATCTAGATGCTTCAGTAATGAACAATTACAGGCCCATATCAAACCTGCCATTTCTAGGTAAAATCATTGGAAAAGTTGTTTTTCAACAGTTGAGTAATTTCTTGCATTTAAATAACTGTTTTGATGTGTTCCAGTCAGGCTTTCGTCCAAACCACAGCACTGAGACTGCTCTTGTAAAGGTCTTTAATGACATCCACTTAAACACAGACACTGGCAGAACTTCAGTGTTAGTATTCTTAGATCTCAGTGCTGCGTTTGACACTGTTGACCACAGCATATTACTAGACCGACTGGAAAACTGGGTGGGACTTTCGGAAACAGTTCTGAATTGGTTTGAATCCTACTTAAAGGACAGAAACAACTTTGTTTCTATAGGTAAATACACATCTGAGTTGACAAATATGACATGTGGGGTTCCTCAAGGCTCCATCTTAGGGCCTCTTCTCTTTAACATCTACATGCTACCACTGGCTCAGATAATGAAAAACAACAAAATAAGTTACCATAGCTATGCAGATGACACACAAATTTACGTAACAATTTCACCAGGAGACTATGCTCCAATTCAAACACTCAGTAAGTGCATTGAACAAATCAATGACTGGATGTGTCAGAACTTTCTCCAATTAAACAAAGATAAAACTGAGGTAATGGTTTTTGGAGCCAAGTCAGAACGTATAAAAGTTAGCGCTGAGCTTCAGTCTGCAATGTTCAAAACAACAGATAAAGCCAGAAATCTAGGTGTAGTCATGGACTCTGACCTGAGTTTCAACAGTCACATTAAAACAGTTACTAAATCAGCCTACTATCACCTAAAGAATATATCTAGGATTAAAAGACTAATGTCACAGCAGGATTTGGAAAAACTTGTCCATGCTTTTATCTTCAGTAGACTCGACTATCGCAATGGTGTCTTCACAGGTCTCACTAAAAAATCTATTAGAAAGCTGCAGCTAATTCAGAACGCTGCTGCTCGAGTCCTCACTAACACTAAGAAAGTGGATCACATCACTCCAGTTCTGAAGTCTTTACACTGGCTTCCTGTGTGTCAAAGAATAGATTTCAAAATACTGCTGCTGGTTTATAAAGCACTGAATGGTTTAAGCCCAAAATACATTTCTGACCTCCTGCTAAATTATGAACCATCCAGATCTCTCAGGTCTTCAGGGACTGGTCAGCTTTCTGTCCCCAGAGTCAGAACTAAACATGGTAAAGCAGCGTTCAGTTATTATGCTCCAAATATCTGGAACAAACTCCCAGAAACCTGCAGGTCCGCTGCAACTCTGACTACTTTTAAATCCAGGCTGAAGACTTTTCTTTTTGTCGCTGCTTTTAATTGAACTATTCATATCTTAGACTGCACTGTAACTTTTATCCATGTACTTTTTCTTTTAATGTTTATTTTATTAGCTTTTCTTTTTAATGACTGATTTTAAATGCCATTTTCTTAATCTCTTTCATTTTTTGTAAAGCACTTTGAATTGCCTTGTGTTGAAAAGTGCTATATAAATAAACTTGCCTTGCCTTGCCTTGAACATTTTGCTAACTTTTAGTGACGCAAATAGACAAACTATAGTCAAATAAACACCTAAATGGGTATTTTGTACGTTTTACTTCCAAAAGCCTGAAAGAAAACATGTTATGGAATCAAAATAGCACAAAATCTCGAAATTGACCAGTGCATGAAAACACAATGTTTTTGCCTGCCGTGTCTCGCCTTAAAAAAACGGCCGTAGTAAAAAGAGAAAATGTACAGATATTAGGGCTGAACGATTTAGTTAGGGTTTAGGTTTTAGGGTTAGGTTTTAGGGTTAGGGTTAGGATTTAGTGTCATGGCGATAACCACGGTATGCGCATAAGCGGTATTCACACCGCAGGGACGTGCGGTTTTATTCTTTTTTTTAAATGCTAACGCACTTTAGCACAGAATTCAAAATAAAGATACCCTTATTACTTATCGAAACTGCACATAAAATATATCCGATTAAAGCTGAGACTCCACAGATTATTTAAGTATAGTATCTAAGCGATCCGATCTCGCAACAGGGGAAGCAAACACAGACATCACAACACGTACCTTTTACGGAGCTTTTACGGGAGATCGTCTCACCGTAGCTGTCAATCTGATCAAAAGACGTGTTCAATGGCATTAAAACGAGAACGAAAAAACGCGGCTGAATCGGTTGATCCATAGGTCGATAATGTATCTGTGGCTTTGAAGCAATTGTTTATAATTCATAATTCCATTTTTATGTAAAAATCGGATCACAAAAGTTAGCTACTAATGGTAGCCACCTTGGTGGTATGCAGCTTCCGGTTTTGGCTACGCGTCGTCACTCTCACTCCTTATTTGTTCATGTGTTGGTGTGTGTAGAACTTTCCCTGATATTTGACTTTTTTAGACAGATTTAGCACAAAAAAACCCTCTTTTGGGGCCATTTGGGTGGATTTTCCATATCTCTGGCCCACCTTGCTGGATTTTGACATGTGACATCTCTTTCTGACCGTCAGAGCCAATGGAATCGAGGGGAAATCACACAGTCCTTATTTGGTAATGTATGTGTGAGAGACTTCCGCATAGCCAAGACCGGAAGCAGCAGCCACTATGGTGGCTACCATTAGTAGCTAACTTTTGCTCTGCGATATTTACATAAAAATGGAATTATGGATTATAAATTAAATCATTTTTTTATACAGAGACGTTAAAAACCTATGGATTAACCGATTCAGCCGCGTTTTTTCTTTCTCGTTTTAATGCCATTGAACACGTCTTTTGATCAGATTGACAGCTACGGTGAGACATCTCCCCTCGAAGCTACGTAAAGGTACGTGTTGTGATGTCTGTGTTTGCTTCCCCTGTCCGAGTTCAGATCACTCAGTGATGATACTATATACCTAAATAATCTGTGGAACCTCAGCTTTAATCGGATATCTTGTAAGTGCAGCTACGATAAGTAATAATAAGGGTACTTTTATCTTGAGTTCTGTGCCAAAGTGCGTTAGCATTTTTCGCTCAGGGGTCATTTAGATGCTACTTATGAGACTTGTGTTTTGTTTTGGTATAAAATGGTTTGTATCGTCAGTTAGCTGAGATTATTTCCGTTAATCTGGTATAACATATTAATAGGTTCTTAAATATTACGATCCCCTGAGACACTGTCGTGAAAAAAAAAAGTAAAGTACCCGCCGGGACTTTGGGGTTTAACAGGTTAAAAAAAACGCAATATATACCGCAGGGGGGGAAAAAACCGCGATGTCAGTTTTTTTCAATACCGTGCAGCCCTAACAGATATCAAAATCAATCTTGAGTAACAGGATGTGAGAGAAACAGATCATTCGACCTACTGTAAAGATTATAGCGACAGATATAATGTGGGGTCTTACCTCGATGATCTGGTAAATGGCTTCCTTGTAGACGGGCAGGCTGGCGTAGGAGTTTTTGCAGAAGCACTTATTGAAGGCACTGAAGACCATGAGACCCTCCGTGTAGCTCTGCAACAGGAAGCAAAGATGATGTGAAAATGCAATTCAACACATGTGGAGTTTTCTTCACATTTAGTGTTCAATCAATCAAATGTAACACTGTGAGACATAGATAAGATAAGACTTTGTTTATCCCAAAGGAAGTTGTTGTCCCAGAGTTACAAAGACACAATTAACACAGCAACATAATAATATAACTGTACACTAACAGTGCAGTAAAAAGTGCCAATTAAATAACTACAAGAAACACAGACGGTCACATGATGAATATAAGACACTGTAATGTAGTGAGTATTGAATGGTGAAACATTCATTAGCTAACAATGACATTATTGTTCTATTAATATAAAGGGAGGTCAGGTACTCTTTAAAACAGCTGCTAGTTATGGGTACGTTTTACTGAAGTACATTTCAAAGCCTCTGTACTTTGACTTGAGTAAAGAAGTTTAGTCAGTACTTCTACTTTCAAGGGCTGTCCCATTCTTTTTGTTATTCTACAGTATTGTTGTTTTATAGTTATTTGTTAATTTAACCCAATTTGTGTTCTTTGAAATTGAAAAGGATATCGCATTGTGTTTGTTACTTTCGTTGCAGTTGTATATGTCTTAAGTGTCATTTGGCTTGGCTTCCTATTTATGGACATGCTTTTATTTTGAAGGAGAGGTAGCGCTGTTGACAGGAAGTTGTTGTTGCTATGGAAACAACATAACAGAGATTAATGGAGAAAAAGTCTACATATAAAGACTGAGAAAGTAAACGATAGCGTTTATGGTTAAGTGTTAGCACCCCCCGAAGAGGCACAAGCTATATAATAGAATCCGAATAACGAAATTGAAACCCGGCGAATAGTACTCCAACGAACGAATATTCGGGTACAGCCCTACTACTCTCAGTATTTTTAAACACGAGTATCTGTACTTCTACTTCAGTAAAGGATGTGTGTACTTTTGCCATCTCCGTTCATAGGTTTAAAAACCAAGAAAAGTGTTCTTCTTACCTCTGAGAACATCCCGTCTCCGAACCACTCGACCCTCCTCATCCCGGGAGGAGAGGATTTACTTTTCCAGGGGATCACCATCCCGGGCCACCAGGAGAAACCCTTCACTTTCCCCCAGATCAACTCCCCGCGCAGGAAACCCTTCCCGTCCTGCAGGGAAAACGTGGATTATCATAAACAGTTAGTGTTGGGAAAATACTGAATCACAAATACATGGATCCTGATATTGAAGCTCAAGCAAGGGATATTTTTCTAACAGTTTTCTTTCTAAATGTAATTTAAAAGACATGATTCTGTTTTATTCTTTACCGTGTAGACGTGTTTCCGGCGATTTCTTGGAGTGGGTTTACTGATCGGAGATGATTCTTCTGCCTGAGACTTTAAAACATTAAAATAAGTGTCAAACATTTCAGTCAAACATTTTTAAAAAGTAGTTTAGGTGAGGACGATCTGCGTACTTACAAAATAAAAGCCATAACTGATGTTAGTTAGTTAGAAAATGCACCACAAATCATTGTGTTTGATATTACATTTCAGGTGTCATGGAGGAGAGAATTAGTTAAAAACAAGAGAGCCCTTTTTTCTTAAGATGTATCAATTCACTCTGATCAACTAATCAAGCTGGAAAAATCCAATAAAAACTAAACAGTAGAATCTATTTCCTGTGGTTTTAAGTTAAATTATCTAAATAGATGTTTAAATGTTGGGTTTGGCATACTGATGACAAGGTCATTAGACTACAGATATACTGCTTGTATAGATTTTACGAATAATTCAGTATTCTGACATCTGGAGAGGTTTTTTTTTTTTTTTTTTTGAGTTCTGCGATTTTCTGGAAAAAAAATAGGATTTTCAGAAAAGTGAGAATTTTCTGGAAAAAGTGAGAATTCTGAGATTTATTAGAAATAAGGTGAGAATTTTCGATAAAGTGAGCATTTTTGGATTTTCTGAAAAAAGTCAGAATTTTTTGTTTTTAAGTAAAAAGTCCGAATTCTGATATTTCATAAAAAAACTAAACAGTAGAATCTATTTCCCTGTAGTTTTAATTTAAATTATCTAAATAGATTTTTAAATGTCCGGGTTATCTTTATTATCCTGCTAAACAAAACATGTCTGTGTCATACATTTTGCCACAGAGATTATTGTCTTCAATAAATCAAATCACATGGAGAAATGTCATGGGCTCAAGGGAGATGCTAACAGAAAAACATCATAGCTGCAGGGCTCTATTACGCTATCAGATATGTGTTGTTGTGCAAGGAGCTCACTAGTATTTGTCTTTTAGCTAGTTATTTTGTAGTGTTTCAGAGGTCAGATACATCAGTCATGGCCCAAGGGTATTCTGGTAGTATACTTGAGTACACCTACCCTCTCTTCCTGGGACTCCAGACCCTTTCTGCTGTCCTGATCAATAGGTTGGGGGGCGGACCAGGTGCTAACACCCGCCTGAAACACTGCGCGGGCCTGAGGTTTCTGCCGCAAGCTGCTCTCCCAGCCAAAACTTCCCCTAGTGGTCATCTGAGAGACAACACACTCCCATTACACACTCAAATATCACAACACACCGTCATAAAGGGAAAACGTAACCGTATCATGCAAGTGGTTATGATGGCCGTATCGATGAAAATAATGAGGTTAGTAAAGGGAAAAGTATGTCAGTAGATGAGAATTCAAACAACAAATATGATGCAGGAGAAACAATACTTTTTCTGATTAGTTCTGGTCTTTGTTTACTAGTTGAGTGTAAAGCTGAGTAGTGTAGTTTAAAAAAAAATTATAGAAGAAATAGAAAATGTTCTGAGATTAATGTGATAAATCTAGTGAAATAAATGTACACGAAAAATAAAGTGGTAAATAAACGGTACAACATTTACGAGCAACAAACTAGAGAATTCTGAGATGAAAGTGGTAAATGTACGGGAAAGCAATGTACTAGAAGCTGACAGTTTTCATGTTCAAATAATAAATAAGTCATTTTTTTTAATTCTAGCTTTTTTCTGAAATGTGTGTATTACCTCTTTGCAATCGTCTCCATTCTCATCGTCTGTTGAAGAAAATATAAAGTAAGTTTGAACGTTGAAATCTTCAGAAATATGAATCCTGAACCAGAAATGCTACGTACCGTTTATCTTTGTGAGGCGGACTTCACAATGCTTTACTTTGAGACCATTCATTGCTAGAGAAAGAGAGCATGTGGGCAGTTTGGGATTTGTTTTCAGAATCGAAAAAAATAATGTTTTAATTTTGAGATTTTTCATGGAAAGTAAAAATTCAGCGATTTTCAGGAAAAAGTCATAATTTTGAGATTTCAGGGAAAAGTGAGAATTTCAAGTTTTTCTGGAAAAAAATTCAGAATTCTAAAATGTTAGGGGAAAACAGAATGTTGAGATTTTCCCACAAAAAAGAGAATTTTACGATTTTCCCCAAAAAAAGATTTCTCGAAAAAAAAAAAAAAAAAGAAGAGATTTCTGAGATTTTCCAAAGTAAGACTTTTCTGGGGAAAAGTGAGAATTTCCCCAAAAATTATAATTTAGAGATTTTCAGAAAAAACATAATTCTGAGATTTTATGAAAAAAGTGAGAATTCTGAGATTTTATGGGGGGAAAAAAATGGAATTTCCGCGATTTCCAGGAAAAATATATAATTCTGAGAATTTCAGAAATTCTTTTAGCATTTTGAGATCTCAAACACTTTTGCATAACATATACATCAAATGAATAATTACTATACCAGCGTGGTACAGTTATCAAATTAGATGCACATTTATTATCTGGATTATATGATTCCTCTCACCTTCAGAGTGGATTCGGGGGTCCGTGCAGCGGTTGTTATCAGAGGGAAATCCGTCGGACGTGAGCTCAGAATCACTTTCTGTTAAAGCTTCACTCTCAGAGAACAGCGTGGCCTCTTCAGCTCCCAGAGCCTGAGACACAGCAAGGGCACAATATTAAATAAACACAATCACAACTAGTGCTGCGTACCGGTACGCCGAACCGGTACTGGACTTGTAAAAAGTTTCGGTTGGAGTCCGGTTAAAACCGGAACGTCGGGAACCGGTACTTGGACTCGCAAAAAAACTAGCACTTACGTATATTCTGGTGCCTGTGGTTATTTAAATATTCCCTGATAAACGTTATTCAGCGTCAATAAATGAGTGCTAATCCCAGTGTGCTCAGTGTACAACATCACATGTCATTTCACCTTCGATTCACGGTTTGAAAACGTAGCATTTCACCACATGCTAATGCTAACCGGAAGTGAAGAATTTTCAGAATAAAAGTATTAAATTAAATAGTGTATTTAATTTAAAATTACGCTATATCAACATTGATTTTAATTTCTAACAGTATGTATGTACATCACTATGTATGTAGTAATATGTACTGTATAATGTACACATGTAGAGTTGTAGAAAATACATGGTGTACAGACAGTACAGTACACTCTGAGTCACTACAGTGTAGCCTATACTGTATAGTAGGTGTGTAACAGTGTAATGCGTATAGTCTACTCTACACTCTACCTTTCAGCAACGTTTTAGGGATTTAGGCTCAGTCAGCTCAGGGACTGTTTGGTTACTTTAGTTTGGTAAATGAAATAAATGTTTGAACTTTGTAGTTCACTGTAGTTGCTGTCATAAGTCATTTGTAGACTAAGTGGCAAAAAGTTTTTTTTTTTACATTTGTACTTTGTAGAGAAATGTAGACACAAGTTGGAAGGGAGCACAATAAACCTGACGAGTTTGAATTTGAGTTGATTATGAGTTAATTTTCAATTGATAATTAGCTCACAATAAGTTCACTTTAGTTACTCACACAACTTGACACAAGCCATGGGATCAGGGGCCTCATTTATAAAGGGATATACGCTCAAAAAATGGCGTACGCCAGTTTCTACGCAATGTTTGCGATTTATAAAATACTAACTTGACGGGAAAACATGCGGTCCTCCACGCAAACTCTAACCCATGCGTACGCACCAAGCACAAAAATGGGAGAGACGAGAAACTGCGACACCGCGTTGGCAGAAGGAAGAATGGAGAGAAATATGTGGAAATAATACCATAAACAAAATGTTACCTCTCATTTATCATATATGAAGAATTCATTTTCAAACATTGATTAAAGCCAATCTTAAAATGATTAAACAAACACCTGTTTGAGACTCCTCAGTGCACACAAAAACATAACTTGGAGAAATAAATAAATACGGATATGTTATTGAAAACCACCTTGAATATGTTGTGTTAATGTTATGAAATGTTTTCTCATAAATGATGCGGTAAGCAGAAGGACAGAATTACGTCTAAACTGACGCCGTTTTGCATTTCTATAGGTTGTATACGAGCATGGTTTTATATACTATCACGTTTAATCGTGTTTTATGCCGTTTGCTAAGACTTGATAAGTCGCTCGTAAAACACAGGAGGTATGGAAGCTAAGAACACCATGTGTGGTCAATTGTACAGCTAATATAACACAACACATTAGTTGTATTTCCTTTAACTGGTGGATATAGAGTTGCTGCGGGGGGGGGGGGTTGAGACGCACAGGCTGCAGTGGAGACGCTGCGCACAGCTGATCGACAGCTGGGACACAAACCAACAAATACAAAAACATAATTCAGATCCAGTCGTCATGACTCCACTCCGGGGGGATTCCCCGATCATTTCTTACAGTTTCTCATCAAGGCGGTGTCTCCTGTCCCCGGTGCAAACACACTGCCTGAGGAAGGCTATGTGTATTTTTTTTGTCATGAACCTTTTTCGGACCACTTATTTATTTATTTTGGTGACGATCCGACCTCCATGCTGCTACTCTGGTTCAAACGGCATCCACCAAATAATATGATTTATCTCGACCTCCCCAAAATAACCAAAATCTGACACGGTGTGAGATGTCTTTTTTAGCTGTTCTGTCGTCATTTCCTGCGATCTTCTTCATAAAGTCAGTCAGAATGAATGAATGGGCGTTTCTTTGACTATTTATAGGCAAATATGGGCGTTACGTGAAGCCCGCAAAAGCTGCACCGCATTTCGTGTCGATTGTGATTTATAAAAGGGAAACCAGCGTAGGAAGTGCTGTACGCACTTTCCTCGCTGGTACGCAATGTTTGGTGAATCGGAAAGTGTCGGAACATTTCTGTACCTATGTCACGGCTGCTGCTGCTGTTTGCTCATTAACCTGCCTGTGAGTGTTTTCAGCTGTGTGTGATTATGTAAATGAGCTGTGTGGTTGCCCCAACGTCATTGGCTGTCATCTCCTGGTCCACTTCCGAGGACACAAATTGGAGCACGCCAGGCCCGACGTTCTCCAATCCCTGTGCAAGCCCAGCGCACACCTGCTGGAGAGGACTACAAAGCCTGGGAACTATCACCACTCTGGAGGCTCTGCTGCGATCAGACGCCTCATACCTTTTGCTCTTGTGTCATGGACACTACAGACTGTGTTTGGTGCAACATATGTGCTTAGTGACGAGTGTCAACATATGTGCTTAGTGTCGAGTGTGGATATATGTGTTTAGCGTAGTGTGCTTAGTTTTCCCTCCTTCAGCTGTGTTTTCTTACAGCTTCCTTTATTTAGTTGTACCACTTTTAAAGTGAGGTTTTGTTTCATTTTATATATTAGTATTTATTTATTCTGTATGCCATTAGACTCCTTTTTTTGAGTCCTCCTTTTGTTAGGTTATTTGTTCAACCTGTGCCCTTTTGGCCAATTTGTTTGTTTCAGGCTGCGTGCCTTCCATTTTGTTTGCCGCTGCAATTTATAATAAGATCACTTATAATTATACTAATACCAATCTGGTTGTGTTTCTTCCCTTTAGTTCCCCTAGCCGAATAGGGAACGTAACAACCTATTTTTTGGATTTCTACTACGTAAGCAACCTTCCCACGGCGTTATAAATGAGGCCCCTGAACCTGAATGTGAGTCCAGGTACGCAGCACTAATCACAACATGGGCTGTTTACACAACGTCATAAAAACTAAGCTTTTTTCCATTTAAAAATTAAGTCAGAATTTTGAGATTTTAGAAAAAAGTTGAGAATTTTGCGATTCTTTGATAAATCTCAGAATTCTGAGCTTTTATTTTAAAAAAAATGTTTTTGATTTTTTTAAACACAATGAAAGCATGTAACATCCGAATGTCATGCTAAGAGTACAGTTTTGAAGTATTCAGTACAACAACATATTTTGACACGGCTCCTGTTCACTGACCTGGGTAAAAACATGCTGCGCCTCCAGGGGCGGGCAGGGCAGAGCCAGCAGGGTCAGAACAAGCTTCCTGAACCCTGATCCGGGCTTAGTGTCCTTCAGTACGCTGGCCCAGTGCTCCTCCAGAGGAACCTAAGATAAGAAGTACTTTTTATGAGGAAATGTTTGCAGCAGCAGCATACAATCGAAATTAAAAATACAATATCTCAATACAAATAAAATAGCATTACGAAAAAAAGTAGAAAATGTACATGTTGAATTACATATTTTTATTTGTATTTACTTGCACTATTTTATCTGTTTTATTGATTTGATTGTGTGTAAAACAACAATACAAAAATGTAACATTATTATACAATACAAAATCAATCAGTGTCAAATTAATATACAAAAATATTACTGATTCTAAATTATATATAAACAGATGATCTACTTAATTACACATCCGAGAAGGGGTGGGAAGAAGTTTACACTTATTTAATCCCACCCTTTCTCCCAAAAACTAAATTACTAACATATATATTTTTTTGTTTCTTAAAAGGTAGGGTAGGTAAGAATCATAGACTGTATATATAAATGGACGTAGTGTCCGTGACGTCACCCATAGGATTCTGCAGAGTTGCCGTGAAGCCCTTAGTAGGCGGAGTCGGCCACTAACGGCTCGACAGCAACGTCAGAGTCTAATCCTGCCTGCTCCAAATAAGGGCAAAGAGGCGGAGCCGAGGCGGGACCTGCTGCCTCCGAACTGGAAGTAAACAGAGCTAGCTCAGGCTAAGAAGCTAAGCTAACATGAAATACATGCATACCAAGTTACTGCTAACAGCGTAGGTCCCCTATATAAACGTTACATTCATAATCAAATGAGACAATCTGCAAGAGAATTAGCTATAGCTTTTGTTATTCTTAATGCTTGTCATTCACACGTTGAGAAAAGACGGACTCCACCGCCCGGACATAACGGAGCCGCAGTGGGCTAGCTCCGGGACGCCGGCTAGAGCAAGCCCCCTGCGGCTCTATTAGCTCCGGCGGCCACCACTGGGATAATTGGGTCCCCTATTAACATTTGCTCCCGTTTAGCATTATGGGCGTCATAGCCATAGACTATAAAAGTCTTACCCAAGGCTGAATCATAAACTAAAATGTATATGTATGCATAAAGGGTTACGTCCTTAGCTGGCTAATAAGTAACAAGCTAAGCTACCAAGCACACAAACACGTGCGAACGGGGTTAACATGTATAATACAGGGTTCATACACTTTTTCACCAATGATTTTCAATGACTTTTCAATGACTTCTCAATGACCTTTACCTGATTTTCCATGACCAAAAAAAAATTATCACTGAAAATGGTTTATTTTAACATGGAACAGGAAAATAAGGTCTGCATATCTAAAACAAATCAAATAGTAGGCTTACTAGCTTCTACACGCTAAAGCAACTGTAGTCAGGGATGCAAACTCATCAGGTATGAAAAAGGTGACAAGGATCCGAGCCCCCCGACCCCACGGAATATCGGCTTTAAAATGAGGAATAACAGGATGTTAGCAGTCAGAACAACTAAAGCAGCAGGTAATAATAACAGAAACGTTAAAGAGTCACATCTAATAGAAATATATAAAAGCATTTATTTTAATTGTGTAGCAGTCAGTTTATAATTTTGGCAGCACTGTTGAGCATTTTGGAAATGTATTTTCATGCCTCTGTGCAAGGCGTAGTCTTTCTATCTGCATAGCCACTGGTGTAAAGTAACTAAGTTCATAAACTCAACAAGTAGCTACTATACTTGGGTACAATTTTGAGATACTTGTACTTTATTTAAGTATTTCAATGTTTTGCTACTTTGTTCTTCTTCTCCTCTACAGTTCAGAGGTAAATGGTGTACTTTTACTCCACTACATGTATTTAATACCTTTAGTTACTTTACAGATGTGGATGAACGATGTGAAATATAATCAAGTGTTAAATCAGACTTTAGTTCCACCTGGAGTAAATCCACCAGCTACCCTGCAGTATACAAAGTCATTCAAACTAGCTGCACCTTTACCAGCTTTGAGAACACTTTCATGATCAATCATTATAAAACATATTATTCTGAAATGGACCAATCTGCACAATGACTACTTTTACTGTCGCTACTTTCACTATATTTTGATGAGAATACTTTTACTTGAGGAACATTTTGAATGCAGGACTTTTACTGAAACAGAGTATTCCTACACTCTGGTACTTCTACTTTTACTGAAGTACAAGACCTGTACTTCCACTTTTACTAAAGTACAAGATCTGAGTACTTCTACTTTTACTCTAGTAAAGATCTATACTTATACCACCTCTGTTTATAGCCTATGAAAAAAACTATTAGAAAACGAAGGCTAAAGCTAACGTTAGCAGATAGTGACAATGTATGCTAGCTAGATAGCTCAACGATTCCTTAAATAATAACGTTTCAGTTCACATCACGCTCTGCCGCTCTGCTCTGAACACCTGAACGGCCCGTTCTAACAGCTGTTCACCAGCGGCTCAGTCTGTGCCACAGTGACTCCGCACAGTTAACGAACGCACCGTAGATAATGTAGCTGACCCTCATCCCGGAGCAGCAGAGTTCAGCCGACAGGCAGGAAGACTCGAGCACACAGCTCTCGCTTCATATATTAAAAAATAACACCATGCGCGTCATGATGGCACATACTGTAACAGCTCGCGACCGCAGATTATTTCGGCAGTTAAATAAAATGTAAATTATATTTGACGCAACTTTAGTTACATTTCCATGACTTTTCCAAAACTTTGGGAAAAATATTGTTTTCCATAACTTTTCCAGGGCCTGGAATTTGCATTTTGAATTTCCATGACTTTTCCAGGTTTTCAATGACCGTACGAACCCTGATAATATGATCATTTTAGACTTCTTGGAAGTTCTGTTAGTACATTCAAGCGCACAGCACGACATTTTAATTGTCTGGTATTTGTAACAATATTCCCTAAAAGGCAAAATCACCACGAACACGGCTAAAGCTAAAGGGTCAAGTACAGTGCTATGACTAACTAACGTTGTAGCCTCTATGGTTGTAGCCTAGCAGAGTGGACAAGTTGCTGTTAGCTGACAGTGAGGCATGTACGTGTCCATCAAAGTGACCACGCCCTAATTTATGCAAAAACGTTAAGACCTAATATAAATAAAAGGGTCGTGTTAGAAAACAATTCACTCACTGATTCATAATCATGAAGGTGGAATCTAACTATATCGATAATAATATTTATTGCATCCATGGGTAGAAACATGTTTTTTTCTGCTGTAAAGTTGGGTATTTTAACATGGGGGTCTATGGAAATTGCTCCTTTCTGCAGCCAGTCCCTAGCGGCCCATGTATGAACTGCAGTGTGTGGCACTTCCGTATTGACGTGCCGGCTGTTCCCCAGAGTTTGCCGCTTGGTAAGAATGGAGAAACCAGCTCGAGTGCGCTAGAATTTGAAAATACACAACCGGAACAAATCTGCCACTTCCTTACAGAGCCCCTCCTCCAACACACACGAACGCGCACATGACCAATGAGGGCACAAGATAAGTTTGTGCCCAGATGGAAGGCTGACAGGCAGGTAGGCCATCCAGTTACTTTAGCCGGCTCAGATGATTGGTCGTGCGCCACGGCTTCCACAGATGACATTTTTGAATGTATTTGTTGTCAAAGCACTTAAGATATTTATTGCTATCGGGATGTTAAGAGCATTCCATGGAATATAACAACAAGCGTTTCTGAAGTGAATTACCTACCCCACCTTTTAAAGAAATACTTTTGTTATTGAAAAACAAAACAACAAATAAACAAATGTTGTGTTGTACTGTTGGAGGAGCCTGTAGCTATGCACACATGACAATTTGCACTATGCACATTAGGGCTGAACGATATACCGTGTCATGGCGATAACCGCGGTATGCGCATGCGCGGTATTCACACCGCAGGGACGTGCGGTTTTATTCATTTAAAAAAAAAATGCTAACGCACTTTAGCACAGAATTCAAAATAAAGATACCCTTATTACTTATCGAAACTGCACATACAATATATCCGATTAAAGCTGAGACTCCACAGATTATTTAAGTATAGTATCTAAGCGATCCGATCTCGCAACAGGGGAAGCAAACACAGACATCACAACACGTACCTTTTACGGAGCTTTTACGGGAGATCGTCTCACCGTAGCTGTCAATCTAATCAAAAGACGTGTTCAATGGCATTAAAACGAGAAAGAAAACACGCGGCTGAATTGGTTGATCCATAGGTTGATAATGTATCTGTGGCTTTGAAGCAATTGTTTATAATCCATAATTCCATTTTTATGTAAAAATCAGAGCACAAAAGTTAGCTGCTAATGGTAGCCACCAGAGTGTATGCAGCTTCCGGTTTTAGCTACGCGTCACTCTCACTCCTTATTTGGTAATGTGTGTGTGAGAGACTTCCGCATAGCCAAGACCGGAAGCAGCAGCCACTCTGGTGGCTACCATTAGCAGCTAATTTTTGCTCTGCGATATTTACATAAAAATGGAATTATGGATTATAAATTAAATCGTTTTTTTATACAGACGTTAAAAACCTATGGATTAACCGATTCAGCCGCGTTTTTTCTTTCTCGTTTTAATGCCATTGAACACGTCTTTTGATCAGATTGACAGCTACGGTGAGACATCTCCCCTCGAAGCTACGTAAAGGTACGTGTTGTGATGTCTGTGTTTGCTTCCCCTGTCCGAGTTCAGATCACTCAGTGATGATACTATATACCTAAATAATCTGTGGAACCTCAGCTTTAATCGGATATCTTGTATGTGCAGCTACGATAAGTAATAAGGGTACTTTTATCTTGAGTTCTGTGCCAAAGTGCGTTAGCATTTTTCGCTCAGGGGTTATTTAGATGCTTCTTATGAGACTTGTGTTTTGTTTTGGTATAAAATGGTTTGTATCGTCAGTTAGCTGAGATTATTTCCGTTAATCTGGTATAACACATTAATAGGTTCTTACATATTACGATCCCCTGAGACACTGTCGTGAAAAAAAAAATAAAAGTACCCGCCGGGACTTTGGGGTTTAACAGGTTAAAAAAAAACGCAATATATACCGCAGGGGGGAAAAATCGCGATGTCAGTTTTTTTCAATACCGTGCAGCCCTAGTGCACATCATCTTTTTCATATATATCCTGCTTACTTGAAGTGAACGGTTATTTTGTAGTTAATGTGTGAGTTTGTTTATACCTCGGGACTGTGGGAAACAGTATTTCCATCTTTCTGTGTGTACAAACATATTTTGAGATTGTCACTAAAGTTGACTTTGACAATAAAAGCCGTGAATCTTGAATGATATATTATACATACTGTAAGCATGTGTACCTGTGCAGAGTTCTCCCCCTCCTCAGCCTTCTGGTACTCCAGGAATTCAGCGATGAGTTCCTCCTCCTCCTCGGAGCTGCAGATTCCCAGCGAAGTCCCGAGTTCCCCGACTGATTTCCCCGTCACTTCCTGTCTGCTCCGAGGGTTCAGCAGCTGAGAGATGCTCCGGAGAGTCTCCTCACCGAGAGGAAGCTTCTCTGCAATGCAACCTGCAGGCATACACAACAGGAACATTTACAATGTATAATAAGAGACGCCTCTACAAAGTCTGTTTTTAAATTGCTTCTTAAAACTCTTCTCCTTAACGTTCGACACTTTTTAGCTTTTAAATTGTATATTGCTTTTACTATCTGGCTGTTGTGGTTTTACAATGGCCGTACTATATCAATTGTTTAATGCTCAAATGAAAGATCAGTCGGATTTGTTTGTAATGCTTTTTCAAGTCACTCTTGAACATATTAATGATTATCTTTACAATAGAAAATCTACCAGTAAATGTGAGTTTTGGTTGTTGTTATTGCTGTGTTTTATTAAGTGTGTTGTTTTTGTGATTTTTAACATGTTAAGTGCCCGAAAAACGTTATGGCCATCTGCAATAAGATACCAAATCATCTGGTCCGTACCTGTGAGTGCGGCGTAGAAAGACAGCGCCTCCTCCTCGAACAGAGCCTCTGACTCCTTCAGGAAGTCTTCCACTGCTTTCCCTCCCAGATTGATCTCAGAACCAGACAGATGGAAACTCTTGTCTTTAAGGATTTGGGCGTCTCGTTCCTTGAGGAAGCGATCAGCAGCCTCAGGACGGAGGAAGTATGAGGTGTAGGTGCTCAGCAGTTTACTGGCCTCCTGCAGGATGAGCAGCATGTCGGCTCGGTCCACTTCCTCCTCCGTCTGCAGGCGACTCTGGAAACTGTGCAGAGGTTTTAAAGCGTGCTGCAGGAACAGAAACGTGGCTCTGACTTTGGGATCCTGCAGCTGGGAGCAGACGGACTTGGCTTTCTCATCTTTGCCGTCACAAGACTTAAAGTACGCGATGAGATCCGTCCATACTTCCAATATATTAGTGACTAACAGGCAGAACTTAAGGCAGCCGGAGTTGAGATCAAACGGATCGTCTGCACTGATGTCTGAGCCGAAAACAGCCGTGAGGTCATCGTTCTTCGTAGAGCAGGAGGAGTGGTGGGTGTGCATATCTACTATGAACTCTTGGACCTGATTGGAGAGCGCCTTGATCCCAGCGTGGTAGGAAGCATCAGCGATGGCGTACAGCCCTCCTATAGCGACTATATTGGGGTTGAGTTCCCTGAGTTGTGTGCAGATCTGCTCTGAATCCGCGCCATCGTCATCCGAATAAACAGCCACGAGATTATCCGTGTGCAACCCGAACTTCTTCACCGTCTCCACCACCGCCGTGGCTTTTTTTTTCTCTCCGGTGCTGTCCTCTGACTGAAGAGCATCCAGAAATTGTAAGCAATGACCGGAGGCGTCGACGTCAAAAAACCCAACGAGGACCACGGAGTGGTCTTTTCCCAGCGGTTCCCCTCCGAAGATGTACAGGCAGTAAGGCGTGCGCTGGCAGGCGGAGGTGATATCTTTGGGATACTGAGACCCCAAACGACAGCGAGCAAAGAGTCGAGCCTTGTGTTCAGATTTAGCCGGGCCGGTGTAGCAGTGCTTGTTGATGAAGCTAACGGCGGCGTCGCTACACGGCAGCGTTTCGGACCGCTGGCTCTGCCTCACGGTCTTCTGGTAGATTAGAGTCCTTTTCTTGTGTTTGTTAGTGTCCGCATGTCGCCGGAGTTCAACGGGGCCTCTCTGTAATGTCTTCAGGCTGCGGTTGCAGGTGCGGCAGTAGGTGTAGTTATCTCCGAGAGGGCTCTGGTCGGCCCAGTCGTAAATATACATCCACTTTTCATTGAAAAGGAAATTACCGGATGAGCTCTGGAAATCCTCTGACAAAGCGAGAGAGAAACATTTCGGTTAAAACCACAATGTGCTGCGTCATTTTATAATTAGTACATTTCAATTGCATTTATCTGACTCTAAGGACAACAAGAACAGCGCCGACATATTCACTTCACTTGGTCACTAAAACCCTTTATGAACACACAGTTAGAAATAAACTACATTAATACAGTTTTGTACATTTAACGTTTTTAGATAGTAAGTGTAAATATGCACATTGACATTGAATTTGATCTCGTTGCACGATCATTGCTACGACCTCTGCTTTTACTACTCTTATTTATTTATTTGTGTCTATTTGTTACTGCAGTGAGAGTTGCCAAATAAATGTTGTTGCACTTTGTATGATGACAATAAAGATATATTCTATTCTATTTAAACAAGCAGACCATTGTGAGTGCTGCTGCATCAGTTAAACGCTTAAAGGTAGGGTAGGTAAGAATGGAGAAACCAGCTCGAGTGCGCTAGAATTTGAAAGTACGCAGCCGAAAGAAATCTGCCCTTTCCTTCAGACTTCCTTACAGAGCCCCTCCTCCAACACACATGAACATGACCAATGAGGGCACGAGATATCGAGGCCATCCAGATGATTGGTCGTGCTTTTTACAGCGCCACGGCTTCCACAGATGAAATGTTTTTATGTATTTATTGTAGGGCTGTCAAGTTAACGCGTTAATAACGCGTTAACGCAAAAATTAACGCCACTAATTATTTTAACACGCTTAACGCATGTGTATTTTTTTTCCTCGGCCGCCCCGTAGTTTCAGAGCGCATCGAGTTTAAAATACCATCTACAAGCTGACAGCCCCGCTCCTGCCGCCCGCTTGTGGCAGACCACACTTCCACGCTCACCGGCAGGCACCGACTGGCTGTTGGGAGGACCGGGAGGGTGTGTGTATGTGTGGCCCGAGCGAGCGAGAGAGAGACCTTACGTGCATTGTTGTTGTTAGCATCTGGTGCTAGCTAGCTGCGATAATGGATATAAGGAGCTGTTTAAATGAAAACAGAGGAGCGACATTTCGCCACAACTGCGCCGAGCACTTGACTTTATGCAGGAAGCCAGACAGTGGGACATTGTACGAAAAGTCAGCACACTCAGCACGGATAGTGCGCAACATGATTGCAGCGTCCGGGCAGCTCCCGTTCGAGCATATGCCTTGAGTTGCACATAGCTCCAACGATCCATCACACACACACACACACACAATTTGTATTGTATTATTGAATGAGAGAGGTTCCAGGTTGAATTGAGGCGAATATTTGTAATGTTCAGAGGTTGTTGTGTTTCATATTCATGAGAATATTTGTCATTGTTCAAATGATAATAAACATTAGCATAAAGCATATTTGTCCACTCATATGTTGATAAGAGTATTAAAAACTTGAAAAATATTCCTCTAAGGTACATTTAGAACAGATCAAAAATGTGCGATTAATTTGCGATTAATCGCGATTAACTGTTTTAATCGACTGACAGCCCTAATTTATTGTCAAAGCGTTTAATGTATTCATTGCTATCAGGATGTTAAGAGCATTCCATGGAATATAACAAGTGTTTCTGAAGTGAATTACCTACCCCACCTTTAAGTGCTTCTTTATTTTTCAAGCGAAACAGGTGAGTAACACAGTGACAGAAAGTATAAGTTACCTATAAGCAGGTTAGTGGTTGCGACAGTGGGGCTGATTTTCTTTCCCCCCCGAGCTCTCACAGGGTTGTACCCTTGCCTTTTCTGATTGGCCAGGTAGAGAGCTTTGAACCACTTTATGAACTCGAAGTTGATTTGAGAGTCCCCTCGTATGAGCTCCACGATTGGAATTGTCTAAACCATGACAAAAAGACAACATTTAGGAATTAAAACAACTTCCATATTGCACATCTACGGAGCCCCTAAAGGGACATGTAAAAAAAAAAAAAAAAACAGAGAGAAAAAAATAAGTCAGGATAACGAGTTAGTAACGTTTCTCGTGCGCACGAGATACTAACTCGTTATCCTGACTTTTTTTTACTAACTCGTGCGCACTTTTTTTTGTTGAGAAAGTTACCGGTGCTCCAAGGAGGAAGTGAAGCGCACAGGAGACAACCATTTCATTGCAGACTGTTATGTTTATGTTATGCACATCTTCCGGCGCAGACTGAAAACTCATCTCTTTCGACTCCACTTCGAGCGATAGAACTATTAACAAAGCACTTATATACTAATAAAGGACTGGCTTTTCTAAAGCCAGTTGAGTAGCACTTGAAATGTTTGGCTCAATGAAACCTGATGTACTTATATGATTCTGTTTTCTTCAAGGTTGTGTCTTCCTGGTCGAATGTACTTATTGTAAGTCGCTTTGGATAAAAGCGTCAGCTAAATGCAATGTAATGTAATGTTTACGTGGGGAAATGACAGTGCAGTGCATACATTATTTGAGATATATATCGTACTTAGACGGCTAGTGACGGGCGGCCCACTTTGGTATCGGCCCAATGGGATTCGTCCCGAACGTCCCGATGGCCAGTCCGCCACTGGCTCTGTGTGTGTGTGTGTGTGTGTGTGTGTGTGTGTGTGTGTGTGTGTGTGTGTGTTCTGAGTGTTTGTTTCCCTATAAAACAGCTGCGGGCAGCAGGTACTCTGAGAGTCACGGACATTAATTCATAGATCAAAGCAGACTGGTTTACAGACTCGCCAGTGTTTTGCCAATCCGGTGCTAAACCAATAGCTCTACACCCCTGGCCGAAATGCCCATAAAATTAAGTCTGACTTCAAAATATATCTCAAATAATGTATGCACTGTCATTTCCCCACGTAAACATAACAGTCTGCAATGAAATGGGTTGTCTCGTGTTCCACTTCCTCCTTGGTGCATCGGTAACTTTCTAAAAAAAAAATAAAGTCAGGAAAACGGATTTGTTTCTCGTGCGCACGAGAAACAAATCCGTTTTCCTGACTTTTTTTTTTTTCTGTTTTTTTTTTTTTTTTTCATGTCCCTTTAGGGGCTCCGTACACATCAAGGGTGTAGTTTAACATTGAAGGTAGCAATTGTAGCAGAGAGTTATGGCGCATTTCCACTGCAGGACCTGGCACGGCTTAGTACGGTATAGTTAGGCTTTGTTAGGCCAGGCTCACTTTATGCTGCGTTTCCATTACAGTGTAGTAGCTGTGGCAGTAACTATAGTAACGCAGTGTAGGCGGAGCCGTGACGTCATCTTCAATGCGAAACACAAAACCAACATCAGCCGTTAGCTGTTAGCCCTCAGAGCTCACAGCTCCTCATATCTGTTCAGAAACTAGACAAAAGTTAAACAAGTACAAACCACAGACTGTCTGTGTCATGGAGAATACAGTCGCTGGTTTATTTATGTATGTAGGCCGTTGTTGTGAGTGTGGACGGTCGGAGCATACTGCGTTAGCTTAGCCAAGCTCCATTCAGAAAACACACATTTTAAAAAGGTGTTTCGCCTGCCGTCTGTCTGCAGACTTGTCAAAGCATTAATTCATGGTTTTTACTAACCGGTATCAGTATGTTGTTACTTCGGCATCATTTTGTAACGTGTAATACAATTAAATCACGGTCAAATATGTTCATCTTGTTGCAGTGATTCTCACTAGTTTAGCATACTCAGCCCGGGAAGAACCTCGATTTTGGACAGCCAGAAAAATGTGAAATAGTACCCGCTAGCCGGAACTACGCCTAGTGGAAACGCAACCAAAAACGGGCCGGGCACGGCACGCTTAAACCTCGCTGTAGTGGAAATGCGCCATTAGATGAGAGCAACTCGTATTTCTGCACTAAGTATTGTTTTATTTGTGATCTAGGGGAATGCACAGCTCCTCCATCAATCACTTTATTCCTCATTTAACCGTAATTGTACAACAGAGATACTGTGACCACAAACAAAACATTGTGTTCACGCATTTCTGTGTAACATAACAAAATATTTTGTCATGTTGGTTAACAGAAAGCCTGGACTCCAAGTAGCCCACTTTTAGGTGAACACTTTTCTTGTTTTTTGTTGGGTTGAGTCTGATATGGTTTCAGCATTTGGTGCCCTCGATAAGATATAGAAAGAAAAATAAACAAATTATAAATAGTTTGACATTTGGCCCAGACCAAAAAGGCTAGAAACTGGAGGAAACAGTTAGCTAGATTGTAGGTTCAAAGGTATGAAATCTACCAATCCGCACGTCTCAAGAAACTGTAACGTGTCTCTATAAGAGATAGCATACCTTAGTGATGCTGCTCTTGTCGAAAGCCTTGCAGAGGAGACCGAAGTTGTGCATACAGTCGTCGTCACTTTGCACATCAAACTTCACCTGGGTCATGTCCACAGAGCCGGGAATGACCAAGTCCATCATCTGACAGTGGCACGCACCTGCGGGATAAACACAGACGGGTTAGAAAGAGGTGTCGGTAGAACTGGTGTTTTTCACCGCAGTGAGGATATAACCAGGGCTGCACATAACTGGTGCGCAAAAAAAGAGCACCGGGTCATTTGAAACAAAGCGCATTTGCGTACCAACATTGAGAGAGGGAGAGAGAGAAGGGAGAAGAGAAAATAGAGGAGAGATGAGAGAGAGAGAGAGAGAGAGAGAGAGAGAGAGAGAGAGAGAGAGAGAGAGAGAGAGAGAGAGAGAGAGAGAGATATTTGCGAGTTGCATATGAACCATGATATGAACTCAGGGCCGGCCCGTAGCACTGGCTAGATGTTCGCCTAGGGCGCCAGACCTGTGGAGGTGCTGCGCTGGCAGTTCTGGGAGGGAAAAAAACATTTTGACCGTTAGGGCTCATCCTAATTTTCGGCCTTGATGTAACAATATTCATAATTAAGTAAATGTAACACCCTTTTCACCCCGGTTACACGTTTCATTTGCCCTGTACAATGGGCGCTGTAAGTGATGAAAGTGGGGGATGTTGGCTTATCTGGCGCCCGCAGCTCACAGCCAAAGCAAGTGAGCGAGGGAGAGAGGGAGGGTGCACCGGTACCAGCGCTGTTGTTATTAGAATCTGGTGCCGTGCTAGCTGCTCTAATGGAGATAAGAAGAAGATGTTTCAATAATGTGGAGGGAGAGTCCTCTCCAGTCAGACTGATAACTACAGCTCAGTGAGGTAAAGGACTCTTGAGTGTTTAGATAGTTCACTTTAGTCTAAGTTCAAACGGTTTGGTCACAATTTATGTAAACAAATATTTCCAAGGCACTGCTTTATAATTATTGGGATAAACAGGTTTTAAATCATTCCAATGTATACTATAGGACAGTAACCAAAAATATCCTTTAAAACTGGAGAGATAAAAAAAAATGCATAAATAAATAAATGTTAAGGTAAAATAAGATATGAATGAACAACACAAATAAAATAAGTTACATTCATTTGTTATTGGCTATGTTCACATACTTATTTGATTACATCCACTTTTCTAAGATGACAACAGATACTTTCGACCCAAAACCAGCTGTTGACTTGTGGATGCAAGCATCTAATCGCAGACTCAACCAGAGAGAAAGAAGTAGGCCTACATCATCAGCTATCTCTGACAGAGAGGAGAACATAGAGGAGAACAGTGAGGAGGCTAGTGATGACAGCTTGCAGGATTACTGGTCGTGCTAATGTTGTCTTGTGTTCACCTCTGCACGTGTGTTCTGTGTTCACCTCTGCATGTGTGTGTAGTGCCGTGTGTCTGGCAAATAAAGTCAAGACCCCCTCAAAAGTTACGGTTTATTTCATTTTAAGGATGAGCACCAAGCAACATCTCCAGGTGCTCCTTTGAGAACCAGGGCAAAAAAGTTATGTGCACCCCTGGATATAACGCTGTGCTGAACAAGGGGTAACCCCAAAGAAAGATTTACGCATAATATCTGCTCAGACTGATGAGTTACCTGAACCCATCTGCCGCACATCTTTGAATTGGGTCTTCAGCAGATTGTTTATCCAGACCACCAGATAGTGACTGCTGCTTTTATCTTTGCTGTTGGACTCCGGAGTCACAAGCACGGGACTCGCCATCTCACAGCTCTCTGAGAAAAAAGAAAGATTGAACATGCTCATGACTTTGATAGTGGGGTTTAATTGAAATCACAAAATGTTGTACATTGGCTGTGGGTCAGCAGGCAGGAGTGTTGGCGGTTATATTCTAATTACTATTATTAAATCCCAGTTTGGTTTAACCTGTAACCAGTTCCTGCGATTAATATTACCTTTACCATCCATTGTGAGACTTTTTACATTAATAGTCTTCTTTTTGTCCGTTCATATCATGGATTTGTTGGTAAATAATTGTTTTGGATTGCATTTACATGTTTACTGAAGCCAGGATTGCAAACATGACAAGATTGTGGATGCATGAAGTGATAGAAGAGAGAAAAATGTGTGTATTTAATTGATAAAGTATCTGTAATACCGCATAGTCATAATTTATGGAGATGGAAAAAAGGTAGCTTTACCTCAATGCAGAACATGTAGTTATATAAAACGTAAAATATGTCCATATGAAATGTAGTAGAATAGAAGATTAAAGTATAATAACACCCACAGACAGGCATTGGTCTACAGTTGAGTCTTTCTGTGATTCAAACCAAACTACAAAAGGCCACCACCACATTGTTATTCATTCGTAAAACATGGCTGCCTGTCAGTATTACCAAAGCCAGTAGGCTTGTTTGAGACAAGCGAGACCTGCGCAATTTCGATCAACGTCTTGCTCGTGCGTTGCATGATGGTTAGTCATTTTGTCCGACTTGCTCTGGAGGCCCGCCTACATGAGACGTTGAAATCTCGCGGGACAAAGACGCCCGCAGCCTTGAGAGCGAGGCGGCGCAGTTCCTCTCCACGGGCTGCGGAAGCGAAATGCTTGATGGGAAACGACTCGCTGGTATCTCGAGCTGAGCGCTCATTGGTGGTTTTTACCACGTGCTGGTGATGAAACTCTCCAATTGGCTAGGCAAAAGTTTGTTGTTGTTTTGTGTCAGTTTTACGTCGCCACATCCATTCCCATTTTTCATCATTGTTCCACAATATTTATCATCATTAAATTAATATCCATATATTTTATACTATACTTGCACTGCTTACCGTTTTCATACTTTATATATCTTAGCATATTCATACACACTGTTCATACTGCTCTCAGGCTGCTGTGTATATCTAGTGCAGTGTTTCTCAAACTTTTTCATACCAAGGACCACCAATAAAAAAAACACTCGCGGACCACCTAACTCCACAAATATCAAAAAACACATAGTTTTTCTAGAACAGATTACAAATCGCCTGAAAATGGTACAAACATGTGGCAACATGTGTAATGAAGGTGTTGCGCTGGGCTATATCATGCAATCGAAAGTGAAACTTAACCTCGCTCCATTGCGGAGATATTCCCGCGAGAGTGCGGAAAACTGAAATGTATTTATTTATTTCAAATGTGAAATGTTACCAATATACTCACGGACCACTAGGGGGCACTCACGGACCACCAGTGGTCCGCGGACCACACTTTGAGAAGCAATGTTTTCATACCCCTCACTGTTTATTCATCATTCAATATTTTATTCTGTAGATTGTGTACATTACTTTTCACTTTACTGCTTGTTGCACCTGGTTAGAAGCTAAACTGCATTTCGTTGTCTCAGTACCTGTAATATGTGCAATAACAATAAAGTTGAATCTAATCTTGAGCAGGAACAAATGTATTTACTTAGTACATATCTGACATTAACGATTAAACACATGTGTGCATTCTTTATAAATGCAAACCGAGTCAAGCCGACTCCGGAGGTGGCGGTATGCACCTTAAAGTTGTTTGCAATCCGCCAAAAAACCGAGAGAAGAAGAAGAAGACGACGAAGCCGACTCCAGGCGAGCTTTTTGAGACCTCCCCCGGCTGCGATCGGCTACTCTCGTCTACATTCGAGGCGAGCCGCAACGCGTCTCAAACAAGCCTAGTGTTTACCCCCCTCACCCCATGCCTGACTGCCAGGGATAGGGTGGGGGTGAGACTGGGACAGTGGGTGGGTTATTCTAATCCCCTTTTGTCTGCTTGTCAAATATCTAATCTCAGTGGTTTGGTTGTATCTTGTTTCCTCGCCATGTGTGTACATTAAAACAGCGATCTGGGTGTTAAGAGAGCCACGCTGCTGCTGTTTCTCCTCCCCTTCCTCCTCAATGTATAGAAAATGAAATCTCGCGTTGTCTATTTTTTGCCGCGAACATCCCCCAGTGAAATCAACTTTCACTTACAAGGAAACAGGAGCTTTAACATAAGATCCTGCTACTTTTCGTGCAGAAATAACGAACAAATGCAATACACCGGAAGGTTTACAGTAACTGCCATACCGGCATGTTAGTTTCAATAATCCCGGTTTGTCACATTGCATGCATGGTGCAGGGGCTGCAGCCTGTCTTTATAATATTTACGTTGGAAGCAAGAAGCCAAAAGTCACACAATCAAACAGCCGTGTTTGTAATGTAATAACAGCTGATTATCATTGCATATGCACTGGAAATCAATGAACTAAAAGTAAATTGCCGTCATTATTAGGAAGTCAAATGATCCAATCTGCTTTTGTATCGCCTATGAGCTGCTCTTTGTTTTTTTACCCTACAAAAGGCTGGATTTACAACAACACAGGACAATAAATGCTGTAACAACACAATCCTGCGCTCGTAACTCGTGCAAAAACTGCGTTAGGAGGAGAGAGCCTCGGTTTAATATATGGTTTAGTTGTGTGCATGCATAGCAGATATATCGATGGTAACTCACCTCTCCGTTTCCCCTGTAGAAACGGTAGAAACAGATGCTGAACATTAGCTTCTTCCCGAAGCACATTTCCCTTGTGACGTCCTCTCTAGCCGGGAATGATCCATTGGACGACCGAGGCAGGAGGCTGTCCCGTAGAGAGACCCGCTAGCCAACGTCCCCGTCCGGGAGTACGAAACTCCCACCCCCAACCCGCCCCCAACAAGAACACAGCCTGCTTAATAATTAATCAAATGTATCTTAATGCTAGCTTAACAACAAATAAATATCGCCGAGGTTCAGTTACTCCCCTAACAATGATGCCGATTAATAATGAACTAGTCCATACGTTGCTAGCTTACGGTCATCGAACCGATTGTAAGAACTGACAAACGTGCTAACGAGCTAGCTGTTAGAGTACTTTAAAGTTTGCAAACTAACGTTCGCCTAACATGTTGAATATTACACCTCTACACGAATAGCATTTTAATTAATTATATCATGGTGATCAGCACACTAGTTGATTCTACCTTATTTTCTGTTAGTACGGGAGAGAAGTCTTTATAGCAACACAAATGCGATGTTATAATCGGAGGGGCTTGGGGTTCGGTCTTACTGGCGAATTAACCGTGTATATGTCGCCAGTTGAAATATGAAATATTACATGATTGTTAGCTTTGCCTGCTGACTTTACATAAAGTAAACGGCTGTAACCGTTTTACGATACCAGTTTTCACAAACCGTAATAACAGCTGTTTGAGTATTAGCCTGTTTCTTTAACGGCCCAGTTAATGTACCGACAGTTGTAACAGAGTAATGGCGGCGGCGCTGTTTCAGGCCAAAAGGTGGACGTAAATACTTTGTATAGCCACAAAAAAGGCGATATGTTATAAGCGAACCTTAACCTGAATATCGGCTATGGTTAGTTTCGGTCATATTGGCTAATTAATGGTGGTGGTTATGTCACATATTGAACGCTGAATATAAAATAAATACGGATCGGCCGTGGCCGTCTAAACGATACCAGTTTTCACACATTAATAATGGCAGTAACGGTTGTTGTTTGGATATTAGGTCTGTTTCCTTATCGCATGAACCGACCGATATAACAGTAATGGCGGCGGCGCTGTTTCGGGAACAAATGTGGACGTAGAGACGATCTATTGCCACAAAATGGGATGTTATCATAGATGGTATATATAAGGAATGTTATAATCGAACCTTAACCTGGATACAGGACAGCTATGGTTAGTTAGTTTTGATCAAACTAACTAATTAACGGTTGGGATGAGCATAATGAAACATTGAATGAATGGTGATTCACGCCTGCTGACTGTAGATTAAGTCGGCTGTATAACGGCTGTAAGGGCAGTTTCGTTAGTAAGGTCTGTTTCTAAACTGTCCATAATATTATGAACCGACCGTCGGATGTAACGAAGTAATGGCGGCACTGTTTCAGACCAACGGGTGGACGTAGAGACGTTTTATAGCCACAAAAGTGGCGACTTTGTAAGCGAACCTTAAACTGAATATCTTTGGTTAGTTTCGATCATAGGACCAGTGGTGGATATGTCGATAACGATCAACAAGATGGCTTTTACCTTATTAATAACAAAACAGTTCGCGGAATCAAAATATAAACCCACATTTTCGTATTACTGTCAAAAAATAAATGGCCATGAATATAAAGCTACCCTGTGCAGACAATATGGCGCCTATTGGGCCATTTGTGAAAGGACAAGAAGCCATTTCATAATCTGAACCTAGAGTCAAACAACATGACACTCAGGCCTAAACTGTCTATTTAAGCATATTTTAAGTATCTATTCATTTATTTGACTGATAAGCCCTTCCATAAAACAATTTCGCATTTTGTTAAGGCATTTTAAGGATTTCTGATTTCAACCAAGATTTCAATACAAAAAATACTAAGAAAACCTCCTCAAACTCATTTTAATTATAAAAGTTCCTTTATTATCATCCCGTATTCATTTAGACCCTTCAAACTACATTTGACATGCGCAGTTACACGTTAGAGTTTGTAGGTCTTAAATTACATGATAATAGAGACCCTTTAGAAATAACTAAATATTAGTCTGGGCATAGGCTATGATACAGTAGGCCTACTGGTTAGAAACCTGGTAGGCTATTAGGATTGGTATTTAACGCCAAACACCAGCAGTTTTACAGATTGTCGGCAGTCAGAGGATGGTACATCCCCTAGCTGTTACATACAGGGTTTCACTAAAAAAACATCAATAAATTACTATAATTACCAAAAATTGATGTTATTTTCAATACCTCCGTGCTTGCCCATATTAGTGAAAACTATGCAAGAAAATTAAAAGTATCTTTTGTGGCAAACATTTTTTGATTACTGCTTGATATAAATATTTGAATAGAACAGTTTTTATCAAGGCTTCCATGTCATGTGACCCATTGACTCCCGATCCATATCATATATTGTAACTTCACTGGACAACACTTCTTTATATTGGATTTTCCTCATAATACAATAATTAAAGGCCTATATTTAACATTTCCCATCTCCGTCATATGTGAGCTTGAGGGTACTGAGAGTCACTGAAGAGGTCAGGGGTTAATGTGTGTGTCTGAATTTATGTTCAAGCTATAATAATAATGTGAGTAAATGGTTAGAGATGAGGCCAAAAGGCTGAACTCTGATGGCTGTGTGTTCAGACGTTCGTCGTACTGCAGTATTTATTTATGGACAGTGCAACCCTTAATGTGAAAATGCTCTTACAGTGTGAAATATGGCTTTAATACTGAACACAACGAATGGTCCCTGAATGTGTGTTTATGATGTCATTATGAAGATAACTCTGCAGTGAGTAGATCCACTCAGTGTTCGCCTACAGCGGGGTCAAGGGGGTCGGTGTGGGGGGGGGGGGGGCTTTGTTTTCTCCAGCCCATCCTCCCAGTGTCCGGATAATCAAAATGTTCACTTTCCTCCATGTGGCTGACACTCAGTGACCATGTAATAGTAGAGAAGGGGTAAACATGTGTGTGTAATCTTATTAAAAGGGTAAAATATCTATAAAGAGATCGATACTTTGCTTTATAGGTTCATCATATGTTGGGTTCAGAGGTCAGATAAAGGAATTTGGGAGTCTTAATTGTAACCATGCTGACAAAAGGAGGAAGAAAAGCCACTCTCAATTCTTCTGGTCTGAATGACTGGTGCAACAAAGTCCAAGAAAACACTTTTTTTAATATATATATATATATTTTACCCACAAGAGAGTCTCACTAACATTGAAAATGAAGTTCACCCTCAAATTGATCATTTGTACATCAATGACTCACCCTGTCACATTCAAGTGTTGTAAAAAATTGAATGAATTGAAGTAATTGGATCCGAATTTAACAACATAAACACTATATGAAAATATATGTATTGCAAAATCATTTGAGTCTCATATATCCAGTCGATGCACTCCTTCACAAACACACAACTTTTTACTAAAGCTGACATATTTAAAACACGCCTGTACAAGCTTGAGATTGTTTATTCTAATATTGAGTAAGGGTTTATTGTTTGTAAAGATTTATAATATACCCCAAGGCCGAATCCGCCTACTTTGAGCTTCACAATGGCTTTTCATAAAGTTATGGGTGATGCGACTTATACCTCCATATTTTATACAGTCTATTATAATGATACAATGATTTAATACTAGGAATGACATTGCTATTTAAATAATAGTTAATTATATTTCTACAACTTCATATCATGTTTATTTCAGAAACCTAAAATCCCTGTCTCCCTCAGCACTCTCAGCTTGCATCACCCGCAAGATGTCCGCCTTCCCTCCCCCCCCGCCTGACAATCCATGTCAACTAGTGGACTACTACAACACCACCCTCTCCTCCTGTCTTGATGAACTGGCTCCCCAAAAAACTAAAACTGTCTCTTTCACACATTCAGCTCCCTGGTACACCGCTGAACTCCGCCAAATGAAATCACAAAAACGCCAACTGGAACGCCTCCATAAGAAAACCACTCTAACAGTTCATCTCCATGCCTACACCGACCACCTACATCAGTACAATAATGCGCTCAAAGCAGCCCGGACCAACTACTACTCACAACTGATACACTCCGGCTCCAGCAACCCCAAGGCTCTGTTCTCCACCATCAGCACACTCCTTAAACCCTGCGACAACGCCACCCCATCCTTCACAACCGCACAGTGCAATTCTTTCCTCTCATTCTTTCAATCCAAAATCGACAGCATCTACAGAAACCTGACCTCCTCAACAGCCCTCCCCATCTCCCCCACTGGCTCCCCCCCTTCACCTCAAAGCCCCTATCCCGGTTCTCCCCTGTGACCCCAATGCAACTTTCCACCCTCATGGCCGGAATGAACTCCACCTGCACTCTGGATCCCATACCAACTACATTTGTCAGGGAATGCCTCCCTCCCATCTCCCAACTCATAACCACAATCATTAACTCCTCCCTCTGCTCTGGATCAGTCCCCCCCTCACTCAAACTGGCTGCTGTTACACCCATACTGAAAAAACCCGGACTCACACCTGACATCATGTCCAACTTCCGGCCCATTTCCAATCTCCCGTTCCTATCAAAGCTACTCGAACGTGTTGTAGCCTCCCAACTAAAATCCCACCTCAGCTCCAATAACCTGTTTGAACCCTTTCAATCAGGATTCCGGACAAAACATAGCACAGAGACAGCCCTCCTCAGAATCACTAACGACCTCCTCCTCTCCTCAGACTCCGGCAATCTCAACATCCTCATCCTCCTCGACCTCACAGCAGCATTCGACACCATCGACCACACCATCCTGCTGTCCCGCCTGGAATCATCCCTCAACATCACTGACACTGCACTCTCCTGGTTGAAATCATACCTCACCAACAGACACCAGTTCATCCACATCAATAACTGCACTTCCTCCACTGCCCCTCTGAACCAAGGCGTCCCCCAGGGTTCGGTGCTTGGTCCCCTCCTCTTCATCCTCTATATACTCCCCCTTGGAAAAATCATCCGTCGCCACAACCTCCAGTATCACTGCTACGCTGATGACATCCAACTCTACATCTCCACAAAAACCATCACTGCCACAACTCACTCCACACTCACCAACTGTCTCTCAGAAATTAAATCCTGGATGCAAACAAACTACCTTC